GATCAAACAGCAAAAACTCCACTGATTCAATTTAAAGAAACACGATACAGTTGGCAGTCAACAAAAAGGCCTAAGACAAGGATTTTCTGCCAAGAGTATGAGTGTTTTTATTATCTCAATGAGTTGATGTCCTGTTGAGGGATCCAGCACCCCTGACGTGAGCGGCAGCCTTGGGAGTTGGGATTCAGCAGTGTTAGGCCCTCACGTGCACTTCACTGCCCCTTAAGTGTGTGTGTTTAGTTACATTTGCACCTTTCTTAATGTATCACTTTCTTTTCAGTTGCTGTGTCTGTACAGGGCACGTGTGAGTGGCGGTGAGTAGTATTTAGATTTGACCTCCCAACAGCAACTGTCTGCACTCATTTAGTCCGTTTTTATACGCTGGATACCATTTTAAATAGCATAGTAGATTAATTCATAATAAATTGTTGTTGTTTTTACTGGTTAAAGTATTGTTTGTAAATGTGTCTATTGATAATAAATGTCATACTCTTGGGAGAAACTCCTTGTCTTAAGCCTTTTTGTTGACTGCCAACTATATCGTGTTTCTTTAAATTGAATCTGTGGAGTTTTTGCTGTTTGATCAAGTTGAGTTAGAGGGCAACTTTGATCAGTAGAACAGCTAAACTTTAGGCCGTGTGCACGGCCCCGGTTACATGAAGTTATGGCCCTCAGTCATTTTCAATGTAATCATTTTAATCACCAGTTTCATTGCAGTTAAAATGATGCAGAGTCTGTCCTGACTGACCGTTGAAGCAATGTTCCTGCATCTCAATATCTCTACATTTATACTGGTGATTGAAATGTTAAATGTTTAACTACATAAATAACACATTTATGGTTAGAAATCCCTTTACGACCAACTCTGCACAGTACGATGACCTGGCCTTACTAGTTTCAAGTCTGTTGCCCTTCTGAACACACCCATCATCACGTTCAGGTGGGGTCTGTTCCAACACCCGACAGGGATGTTGTGCTGAACAAAACAGTATTGTGAAGGGCTGTACTGTGCATGGAGTGCACACAGCATGTCAGATGATGGTACTTCCTAGAGGTCAGTATGCTTCTTCATGTGGCCTGACCTTAAGATCTATCAAAGGCGACATTTTCTTCCTCAATGAAAATGCAATTTTCCTTTAATAAGAACAGAAAGGTTGACCTTGTTTCTTATGTCATGAAGCGGTAATAAAGGTGACTGTCTTGGAAGCTGTTTTCCTGCCCGATGTGCTTGAGCACACCGCCCTGCTGTAAGCGCGTCCCGTAGAGCACCGCCTCCCCCTGATCCTGAGCCAAGCCCACCTGCTGCAGCCACTCCACCAGGTCACAGCCAAGGAAACACTCCACCATAGTCCGCTTCCCACACCTTAGAGTTTGAAGAAACATCCACACAAAAGGTTGAATTATAGATAGAAGAAGAAAACAGACTAAAAAGCAATAACTGTTGAAAGGGTTTTTAAATAATTGTCATATGTGTTGGACTACCAGGATTGTTTCTCCACACACCATGTTAATTCAAGACATTTGTCATCAACCTCTGGCCAGAGCAGCGGTGAGTATGATGATGATGATGATGATGTGCTCTCACCTTCTCTTTTTGACGATGTCATGACAACACTGGTCCTTGTGGTATTGGGTGAACTGGGAGCAGGTCATCCTAATTTCCTCCGGTAGATTAGTCTGTGGTTGCTCTTCTTGCTTCTTTCCATGAAACAGACGATGTAACCTAAAAAAACATTCACAAAAACAAGGTATAAATGCATAGTGTAGTTAACACATAGTATGTATACACATACATAACTGTGAAGTCCACTGAGATAAAATGTAACATTTGTGATATTGGGCTATATAAATAAACATTGATTGATTGATTGATTGATTGATTGATTGATTGATTGATTGATTGATTGATACATACACGGTTAATACATTGTGGCTTGTGTGTAAAACACTAGAGAGTATGTCAAAGCTTAATAACATAGATTATCTTTACCTCTTTTTAAATGGCAGTATTATCAAATGCTTGTCCATCCCAAAGAGAGCAAAAGAGAGCAAACCCTAGGGACAGAGAACAGGTCATGACACTGGTGCTATGTGACAATAAAAAGCTCACAATCTTGGTATTAGTGTATCTGGGAAACCAACCTGTCCATAGTTGGCCACAGCACAGAAGAACAGCAGCTCCAAGTAGAGTCTACCAGGAACCGGGTTCAAGAGCAACCACAAGCAGCTGGACAGGTTCTGTTATGACAGGAAGTGAGAGGAGCTTTTTGTTTGAGGTGTACACCAGCAAACGTGTTGACAGAATACAACATGTAATAATAAATTAAATGCATATAGCGCTTCTCATCTGCAAAGACAAATCTCGAAGCGCTTGTGGAACCAGTTGAGTGAAATGACTGCATTAGGACAACTAAATAAGTGACAGAAAATAAGACTGACTTGACTTCCTTTAAGGGAATAGTTTGGATTATTTGAATAAGGGCTGTATGTAGTACTTGTATGTTTGTTGTATGAGCAGAAAGCAGTACTGGCACAGTAGCAAAGTAAAGTACAAAATATATTTTTGTATATTCAAGATCAGCTTTATATTTAGAGTATTTGTTTCATTTACATGGCTGCCGGATTGCCCTTTACAACGTTGAACCTAGGCATTATCCATGCTCTCTTGAAAGCCTCATGACTCTATTGACTATTGAGAAAAAACTGTAATTTTACCTCACAAAACACAACCTTCAGTCAGCTGCTTCCTGCACTGGTTAGATTGTTCGTGTGACGTTGATGCTTTGACCAAAGTTACACATTAACACAAACAAATTCACTAATGTAGGCAGCCATAAACCAGCAACTCTTGTGATAAGATAAAATTACTAATTTTGTCAATGTAGTCTAGTTGGAAAGGGCAATGTAAAGCAGTGACTATGGAGGAGAATGTTTTCCAACCCCACTACATATCATTTGTACTAAACCTTTAAATAGTGAATTTACAGGTTTTAAAAATATCTGTTGAGATACACAAAGAAACCACATATCACAAGTTTGATTGGTATCTACTAGTCTTATTAGAACCAGTCAGCTTTCATGGCCAGTCTTCACATACTTTAAAATGTTCTTTAAAATGAAATATAAATAAGGCCTAAAACAGGGACAAAAAAAGCTAAATTCTAAATTTACTTGTCTTATTTAATATTTTCTTATCAAATATTTAGAGCAATAAATACCAATCCAATCATAATAATCTAATGGGTTTCCTTGGAGAAGGCTACAACCAAAACTGAATGAGTGAGTGAGTTGGAAATAACATGGCTCAGCCATTTGTGTCTGATTTGGTTTGTGATGCACTAAATATAATGATGCAGGCAGTAAGGCTGGCTTCATGTCACTGTAGAAGTGAAAGGTGGTGGTTTACTCACAGCCAACAAGCCAACAGTCAGAAGCAGACAGAGGAGCACATGACGGGCCACTTGTCTTTCTTCTACCTGCTGGAGCTCCTCCACTTGGACAAGCAGGCAGTCTGTGGACTCACAACGGCTCTCACACAGACCTGAGGGGGGCAGCACAACAGGAAATAAGCATACACTCAATACTGAATCTTATTCATTGTACAGAAATGCTCTTTAATGGTTATCGTTGTTGTGTGTGTTTAACAAATTGGGGTTAATGTATTTTTAATTCTCGCTCTGAATAAATGTACTGTTGTTAATTAGTAAAATACCTGTGAGTGTGGTTGCTGTGTTGTTCATGGTGGAGCTGATCATGTCAGGCATGGGCTGGGGTGGGGCGCAGTCACACAGGAGGCACGCTGATAACAAAGTGTTAAGAGTGAGGTCAAACTCGAGGCAAAAAGCACACACAGTGTGAGTAATACAGAACAAGATTAACCCTCTAATGAAGATGACAGTAATACTTATAACATTTTAATATCTTGAATATTTTGAGTTATTGCGAAATTAAATGTTTTCATGCTACTCTTTATGTGAATGGTACCTACTGTATTCTGTTAACCACATGTTTAAATTGTCGTTGTTTTTGTTTTTATGTTAGAATCAGGATTGTCTGCAACACACTAGTATCTTTCAAATCATATTCATATAAAAGAAAGAGTGTGTTCCTCCAACAGTGGCAGAACTGGTTTGTATGTATTGTAATAAAATCCCCAAAGTCGGACCACTCCTTGAGCTCTGACTTGAATGGAAGGAGACTGCCTGCATGTAGGTCTGACATTGTTTTTCTTGACCAACTGTTCACTCTATTTCACTTTGGATGTTTTAGGTGCCAGCTCTTGAGATCCATGTGAATAATGTTGTTATGTGCACACTTTGTTGTGTATTACGTTTTTAACAGGCACATTTTGAGCTGGCACAGCAGTAGTCTCCTTACAAAAGAAAACAAAATGTTAGCCGTGAAGGCTCAATTACAAGTTATATCTATGACTTGTATCGAGTCATACTATCGACACGTAACTTCAGATCTCATGTTTCGTCCAGATAATGACATCTAAAATGTTTGTTCCTTTTTTTCAGTGTTTATTTGTGATTTTGAAACGTATTTGTTCTACTTGTGCAAATGGTCTGCTGGGGCAGTAAATGAGAAATAAGTTGCGCTGCCAATGTGGCAGTTTGAAGAAAACTTATGGATGACTTTTGAATAACGACTGTTCTTTCCTTTTCTCTTTAACTTAGGCTTTAACAACTGTGACAACATTTGAGATGTTTGAACTCTCTCTGTGTGCTCCACCCATTCCCATGTGCTGTGACATTCATCACTTGGCAAACGGTTATTTATTCAGAATCTTAAAAGGTGACAGTCAAACAAATGTTGAATAAAAGTCTCAGTTGAATGGCCTCTTTCAGAGAAATTACCTCCGTTGGGATCTCCTGATGGGGCGGTTGGCTCAAACAGAGACTGGTTCTCTGGATCATCCTCAGTGACAAGATCCTCTGCAGAGTTTTCCTCAGTGTGGGCCCAGCTTCCTCTGCTGAGACATATAAGAGAGCTCCCTCCCAGCAGTATACTGAGAGCTAGCACAACCGTGGTGCATATTATCTGTAAAATAATGCGCATACAGACATGTAGGATTTTAAGTATTTCTCTGCAGGTTAAAAAAATGGCAGAAAACATGAAAGATTTAGATGTTGTTGTTACCTGTGGTTTGCCATAAAAGAAAGCTGAGTCAATAGTGTCTGGCACTTTTGTCCCAGAAATGAGCAACGCAGCTGTTATTGAGGCTGGGATACTGTTAATATAGAGACAGCATTTGAAATCAATTACAGTATCAAGATGTACAATGTAAATCCTTTCAATGACACTACGTTTCTGATTACATTTTTAAATGAATGCACTTTAATCTAAAATCCCCAACATGGCGGACCTTTTAGTAGACCAGACAATCTGGGTTAGTTTCATTTCTGTTTTTAGCCTTCTTTAAAGAGACTCACCCCCAGCCAGCAATGAGGAACGCGCCGGGTAAGACTTTCACATCCTCATGCCTCTTCATGAGCACAAGAGAGAGTGCTATTAAACCTAAAATGACCAAAAACACATTACAGAATTAGCAAAAAAACTTCATATTTCAGAGATCACCAAATTAAATGTATGAATTTTAATGTGAGGTTAAAGTGGATGGAGAGTTGTTTGCATACCTGGCCAAACAAAGCTACTGTAGAGGGAGGTACATATTATTGTGAACGTCAGGACCTGCCCGATGAAGTTGTCTTCTTTCACCATAAAGTTCCACAGAATCATCCCAACACAAGTTAGAAACTACCGACCAAACAATAAAAAAGAACTGCATTTACTTATGAGGTTACACCTGCAGGTAGATGTTTGGTCAATTTGAATAATGGATCATAAAATCAATTCAGAGAAAATGTGCAAGTTTGCTCACCTGTGCCAAAAAAAGGTTGATTGTAAACATGTGAGGTAGCCTCTTGAATTTTTTACTTAAAAACATGACAGCAATTGTCCAAACCTGTGAGGGAAAACACACATTTTAAATGATACATGTCGCCCAACACGAAGACATGTGCAGACATGTTAATAACTATCATTATTCAACATCATTTGCTGGTATTTCATTTGAAAGCAAAGGACAGGTGAAATAAGAGAATGAAAGAATGGAGACTAACAAGGTAGTACAATATACTGTAGAATACACAACTGTATACATATTTCCTCACAACAAAGATTCTTCATTGTTTTTTGCAACAGGTTCCTGAAAGTGGAATTGAATGAGGAAGTAAGTTCTCTTGTCAGTAAAGCATCTGTTCAGTCACACATCCTCTAAATGACGAAGCCTTTTTATTTCTATCTGCCACAGTGGTTCGAACATCTCACAAGAAGCCACATGTTTGTGTTTTCTTTTCATTCCACAGCAGAGGTGTAGTAGCAGTAGTGAATTGTGCTGTTTTATGGAAATAACTTACTAAAGTCATTGCAGGCCCAACTGCTTTAAGTTCAGAAGTAGAGAATGCTTTAGCAAAAGGTCTATGAGTCAGGACTTCCCTTTGAACCCAGATTCCACATACTGTGATAAAAAAAAATAACCAGCCAATAAAAAGACAGTTATAAAACATTAACCAACAACAAGTTAACACATATCAGACTTACCAGTGCAACCAAGGTCACTATGCTTATATTAAAGCTGACACTCAGCAGTGAATTCATCAAAAGCTGAGGATCCATCCAGCGCATGGTAAGTAACCAGGCAGAAACATACATTATTGGAGCTGAGAGAAAAGTGCTGATCACCATCCCAGAGGTTACCTGTCAGGGAGAAGAATACTATGTATGTTAAGTAAAAAATAAAATGACTTGTTAGCATCTGAATGGCAGATAGGATGTTGACTCGTAAACAACTTACAACTTCTAGCTCTGCGTTGTAATAAACAGCATAGATGGCCACACTTGGTGCAGTGGGAAACACACCATAAAGAAAGGCATAATTGGAGAGGCTTGAGTGGTTCAATGAGCTGGTGTTGGTATTGTCCAATAAATCCACCATGTCCTTACAAATCAGTGGCATCAGCAACCTGAGAGTGAAATCAAAAGGCCGGTGTCATAAATCATTACCTGAGAGTTAGTTAACTGAAAAATGCTACGAATATATAAACATACACTAGTTATTATCATGCTACGCCTTCCTAACAGCTATGACAAGTCATGCTTTAATATAAGTCTTGTGGTCTGTGAAAGGCATGACTCACACAAACCATAAGCACAAAACAACATGTTGGGAGCACTTTACAAAGCTCTAACCTGACGACTATCTACACTCCCAGAACACATTAAGAGTTCATCTGATAACACTGAATCCTCCCTTGTTCAAAATGCACATTAAGTAAAGGTCTTAGATTTTTCCACTCACAGTTTCGCTGTTGTGAGTAAAATCAGTGTCACGACTGAGGATCTGGTTAATTTCCCCAACTGTCCCACCATGGACAGACCCAAGTAGAACAGAGCTGCTCCCCCGAAAGAGTTGGCCAAGCCATCAAGAAATGAAGCCATGAAGGGAGGAATTGTCTGATGCAGGGCAAAATGGCCGATGATGCCGATGACAACCATGAACACTATAGGGTTCTTCAGGACCTGCAACACTACAAGCCCCACGATCAGGATTTTTCTCTGTTGATGGTTTCCCTGATTCTTCCACTTCTGGATCTCGCAGAAAGCAAAGCCAATGGGGTTTAGAAGAATCAGGGACACCGGTGCCACCAGGTAGATGTACTGCAGGTACTCTGGGTATGTGCTCTTGTAAAGGGCCTCCACTGTGGATAAAGATGAAAACAAATAGCTCAATATTTACGTACTCTGCGAATCTGACTTGTTGGAACATGTAGTGCCAAAGTATGAAATATTGACTAAATACACACAAAGCTGCGAAAAAAATCCAAGCTTACATAAATATCTGATTTACATCATTTTTCAAGTGTAAGGACTGTCTACATATAAAGTACCTGGGCCATACTGTTACCTGCGCTGTTGTTAGTACTGTATTTAGAAATATCTATAACTGTCAGTAAATCAATCATGCTTAAAGGGTTTGTTTATTCTATAATAATATAATCAGAAGCATCAGCCTATGCATGCTTATAGAGCATGGGTATGCTTGTATATAACATTTAAATTCCCTTACAGGAAGATAAGCATGATCAGAGATGTTATTCCACTTGTGCAAATGTTTGCGAGTATAAAATAATGAATCTAAATGTTGAAAGTTGTGAGCACAATGATATCAACTTCAGCTGAGGTAGTTTACAGTGACACATGGATAATTACACATTTGATTTGATGAGTGGACAAACATAAGGACAGCATGATTACAGTTGCAGCAGTGAATGAAAAGCAATGTGTGTGGTAGGCTTAAAGGCATTATACTCACCAATGGGATATCCCAGGGCAAAGTCATTGCTTTGGGTGGCAAATATTGAGAAAAGCCCAGCTTTACTATAGCGGCTCTCAGGACTGGCAACTATCAGCGTGAGAACGCAGACAAGGAAAAACACAGACACTTTGGCAATGAGGATGCTCCATAGAAATGGCCAGATGACATTCCCAAAGTCCAACAGCACCATGTTCTTGAACAGCAAAGCTGGGAGGGCAAACTTGGACACAAAATTCCCCAATCCTTTGGCCTGTGTGGAGTTGATGATGTTTGCCCTCCCTGCGATGTATCCACACAGTATTATCCCAAAGCACTGCAGGAGAGCCGGTAGCAGCTTGTCAATGGACATGCTGGGTGAGGAGACTTCCTGCTCATATGAAAAGTTGGTGTTTCTGCCTGGTGCCTCCATCATGTTGATCATCCTTCCACTGTCACTTGTCATGTCTGGTTTGAGGGCTTGTTATTTCCTGTCGGCCCTGTCAGATAACACAAGAGGGAGGGAGTTCAAATGAGGAGTTTGTAGTAAGACGTTAAACTGGCAAAGATAACGAGTTAACGGCGTTTGTTAACCAAATCAACGTCATATAACCGACTCCTTTACGAGTGACTATCAAGCTTTTACCAAATAGAAAACAGGCATATCAAGGTCATTGCGGTTATAAATGACTAACCTCTGCTCTGAGTGCAGTTCAGCCCCCAACGTGTAACGTTAACGTTTGCATGTGTCAGTGAAATGTCAGTTGGAGTAGCCATTAGCCAGCTAGCTATCGTTGAATTGGTGAACAACAACTGAGAGTATCCTCTTAAATCTCAAGTTGAGTTACACAACTCTAAAAACCACTAAGTCTACCTAGATAGTTGTTGAAATGTCGCGTTACGTATGTGTTATTAGCTCACTTTAGTCACCACCCAGCAACTTTCCTATTCCCCGATTTGTCAACAACGATTCAACCAATCAAAATATACTGAGGGAAAAAGAGGCGGGGCGTACTCCACCTACACTACACACCACATGCAAAGCAGGTACACACACTTCCTGATGCCCCCCATCAAGTACGACACATATTACATTTAGTAATAATACTGAATTAAACTCTGTAGTCTATAGTTTTGTTATTATTTGAAGACGCAAGAGTTTTTTAAAAACGCTTGAAGTATGTGCAGGGGAGGGTATAATTAAAACAGGACTGAGATGAGATACTATTCCCTTCTTAGACATTATAACTTGTAGCCTACTTATAATACATTATGAGTTATACATCTTAGAAAACCTAATTTCAGATGGTGGATTGTAGTTATTGAAGGTTTTTTCAAAGAGATGGTTCCTAGTGAATGTTGAGGAAGTGTTTAAAAAGCATGGAAAGGTAATCAAAGTTTGGCAATTCATGAGTTAGGTGTACATATTTCTAAATGAACAACCAAGTCTGGTAGGCTATATGTAAAATGTATAATCAAACTTTCAGAAAGCATAATTTTCCTACAAAAGTAATAGTTTATTATTGTTAATAAGACTTGTTTTATATGTTTATTTGAGTCATTAATCCACACCAGCCCTCAGTTTTTCCTTTTTTACAATTCAATAACTCTACGTACATCCTTTATGAACAATGAATCATACGACTGTATAAGGTGACAGGGGTTATTTGAAGGGACAGAACCACAGAGAACTATGACTCAACTCTTCAATGTTCCTCAGCTTTTCTTATAACTCAATGTTTTGTTTTACAGCCTGAGATATCATCACGCTCGTCAGCATCATTGCCTCACTTCAGCTTAAAAATGCAAAATAACTACTTTTATATTTTCCACCTTTACATATATGAAATAATATGAGTCAAAAGGATTCTGGACACAGAGCAAGACTTGATCAGCCTGAAAAACGTATTTCATTTTTAATTCAGTTGTTCCCTAAACAAACATGTGAAAGAATATATGAAATGTTTTTAAACAAATTCAATATCTCAATTGCACACATATATATTACTTTAAAAAAGTAAAGCAACACAGCTCTAGCAAAACATATCCTGAAGCTACTGTATACAACATTACCTTTTACATATACACATGTAGGAACACAACATCAAAGAGCAAACAAAGACTTATACTGTGAATGCAGCTATTGTTCAAAGTTAGACAGGTAAAACAGGATGCAGTTACGCCCAGCTGGTGCACTCCACTCCAGGACTTTAAATCGTGCTCAACTCAATGAGACGGCCTGCAAACACACCTAATGTGCCGATGAGACACACTGCCATGAACACACAGAGCAGGATGTGATCCAACACCATGGCTACAAACTTCCATTCTTCAGCAGCCTGGAAAGAAAAGAGGGACAATATGTTACACAAAGCGTGACTAAAGAACAGTATTAGTGACACTTTCTGTGCAAGAGAGATTACATTGTTGGACTCCTCGTCCGATTTCATGGTTTCTGCGATGTATTTGACTCCTTCAATGGCACTGCGGACGTCAGGGTTCTTAGTCATGGGCGACTGATAGGGAACAGAAGAGGCCTGGTTGCCTGAGATGTCTGAGATGTCAAAATCAGCACCATATAGGTTGGGTTTAACTTGCATTTCCTTTCCTGGGCGTTTCATTGTTGAGAAGAACATGATGTTGGGAATGGTTTCAATGAAAACCTGTTGATAGAAAGACAACAGATATGCATCATGTCATACAGCATCAGAGAAGTTGGATTATGTCAAATGAACATGTTATGCCTACTACCACTAGATGGCAATATCATACAAAGAAAAATAAATAAAGGATTGTTCTCTAAAGCTTGCCAAGTTTGAGTGGTAAAGCTCTTCAGTCAAAACAATATTAGGTTAAGGTTTATGTTCCCCTCTGTTTATGTGCTCACCTTGCGGACCCAGTCTGGCATTGTGTGAGTGCTGGGGGAGCGGTGGTGGGTGTTGATGACGATGACAGTGATAATGATGGAGGCAATGACGAAGACCATAGTGAAGAGCATGTACTTCCCAATGAGTGGTACAGCACTGGAGGTAGAAGGAATCAGCTCCACAATGACCAGCAGGAACACAGTCAGAGACAGCAGGACGGAGATGCTGAGGGTCATCTTCTCACCTGGGAGACACAGAAGACATCTTTTGTGATCATCAAGGGTATCATCATGAACTCTACAGGACTTTAGAAATCATCGATAATCATCAAACTTGTTTTAGTTCAACTGGTCACAACCGGTAAACATATGAAACAAATGTCTGTGGTTCACAAATCAGCATTGGGTCAAAAAGGATTTCAAATGTTGTAAGTGTAGAGAACATTGTATGTTTACAGCAGCAGAAAAAGTCAACCTACAACAACACATTCTATGTTATTTGAACACATCTTTACTTTTAAAGACACTGAAATAACCCTTAAACTGAATTAAAAATGGGGAGCTGCCGTATTGAAAGAATGTTTGTACAAAACACTAAAAACATGCAATCTTAATACATCGCCACAAGGGAGAGCTGTTGCTGTGGGTAGTAAATACTTCCATTACCCTGCCATCCAATCAGGATGCTACCCCCACTATTAACACAGCACACAATAACTGCACTGTTCACACTCGAGAATAGGAGGTATTTTTGCTGTTGTTTCTAAACTCAACAATAGAACAAGTAAACTAATTCTGACACCTTCTCACAAGTGAAATGCTAGACGTGTTGTTTTGTTGCTCAGATAGAGCAGTTATCCCGGAGAGAGCATCTTTTGGCACCAGCTTCTCCTCCACACTTTCCTGTCAGCAGCCATATCAGACACTGGAATCAAGTGATGTATTATACATTAAAGCAAAGGCCCGCTTTCAGACATGACAGCACAGAGGGACCCTGGGTAATGAGGCAGAATTACACACTGGGAACACGGCCACATGTGCACACAAGCAGTGCAACTACTGCATCAGCTGATGTAGGGACACCTCAGAATTAGGGACGAGGATTAGTCCAACATGATGTCAGTTAACATATCGTATCTGTGTTTTTATGTCACATCATGATACCACAGATAATGAAGATAATGTCGCATTCAGTAGATGTTTTTTTTGGACAACTTCACAATACTAAATCAGAGGTTGTTTTTTTGTTGTTTTTGTATTTGCCTGTCTCCATATTATACATATATACAGTTAGCATGTATTAATCATTATCTCAGCTGAGAGTGTCAGAGAACTTTGAGCCATCCATGTTCAAGAAATAGGTTGACATTTAGAGAAATAAGCTTATGTGCCGTCTTGCTAAGGTTAAGAAAACCAAAACCTCTTTCATAGCTGTGGGCTAAATATGACACTTTACAGCAAAGAAACCAGCTTAGCTTAGTTTAGCACAAGGAGTTGAAACAGGGGAAAGCAGCTAGTCTGGCTCCGTCCAATGTGCCTACCAACACCTCGAAAGCTCACTAATTAACTGAAAGGACTATGTCTTGTTGTCACGGTGAGAGTGCCAGACAGAGAGCCAATTAGTGAGTTTTAGAGGTGATGGTGGCAGCTATAGGGAACAAGCTAGTCTGGCTCGAGTCAGAGGTAAAAAATCTGTTTACCAGCACCTCACATAAACCCTGCTCACTGTATTTGCATACAGCACAATGTCAACTTGGCCTATACAATAGATGATGTATTTGAAGAGCTATTGTGTGTTGTTATTGTTGAATATGTATAGATTGTATAGACTGTAGATTACCATACTGTATGTGGTAAATGTAATCTTTAATTGCTTTTTGAAAATCAGAAAAAAGCACTGATGTCATCATAATGTCCCCGTGCTATTGATTAATACTTTATGTTATATCCAAATTGTGGTCTCAGTATCAACATACCAGAGTCTGTAGGAAGATAGAAGACGAGGCCGGTCAGGAAGGAGAAGAGCATGCAGGGGATGATGACGTTGACGATGAAGTACAGTGGGAGGCGCAGCATGAGGAAGTGGTAGGTGATGTCCAGGTAAGGGGTTTCCGGGCAGCAAGCATAGTACACCCAGTGCTTCCAGCCGCGGAAATCCTTCATCTCCCACTCTCCACTTTCCATAAAGTTACTCAGGTCAGGGCGGTCACTTTCCTGGTGAGGAGAAGCAATACTCAGGGTTAATAAAGGATGGTTTTTAAATCAAATTCCTTAATTATTTCTGTTCCTGTTTGCTGAAAAAAGCATTAAACTGTGTTTTGGCTGCGGTACGGTTGAACTTTGCATACATAATATCTTCTATAAGATGTTATGGTTTCATAGTGTTTTTGATGTTTAAAAAAAACAACAAAATGTTTACGTTGTTGCATATATTAGTTAATTGTAAACAGAAATTACCTCATTTGAAAGACTGCTTTTATTCTAATATTTTACAAGAGGCTACTACTCCAATTGTGCGACAAAAAACACAGCATGAAAAAAAAGATTATAAATTGAAGCCATAGTGTATATTTTTTCTTTTTGTACCAATTTCTTAAATGTGTTTTGGGAAACACATTTGCTCTCTCTCCTGGGGAGAGCAAGATTAAAAACAAATTGATACCACCATCAATCTTCTCTGCAACAAAGCTAATAAGTGCAGTTCCCTAAAGAAATGGGGTTGAATGAGTTAAATTACTGGATTGACGACAACCAGGGTTCCATCATAGGTCCAGGTCCCCAGCTTCATAGTGCAGTTCTGCAGGTCAAAGGGGAAATGCAGCACAATGATTTCACAGTAGCTCTTGAAGATGGCAGGCGGGTTCCATGTGATCTTTCCTGTGTGCTCCAGCAGCACTTTGGTCTCATGAACGATGGCAAAGTCTCCATCAGCACTGCGGGCACAGACACAAACAGGCAACATCAACATGGGAGATAATAAGTTAAATGTTAACACAGAGGGACATCAGTGCCTGAGGATGGGTTAGTGCTGCGGTCGCACCACAGCCAACCAGAGCTCAGCTT